TGGCGGGGCGCGAGGTGGGGAACTCGAGGGAAGCGGGAGTTGGGAGCCCTGGCATGCGAGGCTCAGAAGCTTCGGCTCTCGAGGGGGAAAAGGGGAAGGCGCTGGAGGGAGCCGGGTGGCGGGGGAGAGTGCGAGGTGAGAAACGGCCCCACCGCGGTGTCCGGATGAGCTTGGGCCCTGGTGAAGGAACAGAGCAAGAGGAGGTTGACTGGAAGCTCACGATGGCCTGAGCAAGACTTGGGCAGGCAGAATACAGATGAACAACTTTTCAAATTTTGGTGGGGTTCTTTTTGTATTTATGCTGTAGATTTATGATTAGTTTCAATTCACAGAGCTGACAAAATAATTCTGCCTGTTCCCTGCAACATGGTGGGTATAGATCGGGGGGGCCGAAACCCAGCCTTGTGAGAAGGTTAGTCTCGTCTGAGAACGCTGCCCTGGTCTGGTTCACTGTGTGGCCGCACAAACCTTTGTGTTGGCATTGGGGCAGGAACTGGAGCAGGAGTAGGTGTAAGCAAGTAGGGGAGAGTGGGACTGCTGTTTTCACCAGCATTGTTCCCTGCAACATGGTGGGTATAGATTGGGGGGGCCGAAACCCAGCCTTGTGAGAAGGTTAGTCTCTTCTGAGAACGCTGCCCTGGTCTGGTTCACTGTGTGGCCGCACAAACCTTTGTGTTGGCATTGGGGCAGGAACTGGAGCAGGAGTAGGTGTAAGCAAGTAGGGGAGAGTGGGACTGCTGTTTTCACCAGCAGTGTTAGTTCATACCTGCCTTAACTGCATATTCATCTAGTGAATTCATATGCAGCATTGAAACTTTATATTGAAAACGTCTGGAGGCTGCCACAAGTGCACTCTATCGTGCTAGCCACTGTGTTTGCAGAGGCGCTTATAAAGGCGGTATGGTGGAAGAAAGAGCAGGCAACTGGGAGCACATAGATGGAAGGATGAGCGGCATTTTTTTGTGACAGTAACTCTCTTTGCACAATCTATCTGGGGCTACTGGAAAGGCAGGCAGTGGAAAACTCTTAATCTTTGAATGTTGCATATAAAGGAAACAAGATAAAATGATAACTGTGTCTTCTTTTTTTCCTCCTCTTCATGCTGCAAAAAAAAAAAACAAACCAGTGGCCAAGAGCAAATCTAAGTAAGTGATGTTTTCCTCACCGGTTTTTGATTTCTGCTACCACCCTGTATCTTCAAGTGACTTTACAAAACACTAGGATTCTCTAGAATTGTTTAATATACCCGAGAGAATTGCAGCCCTTGAGTCTAGCTGTGTTCTCTCTGCCCTTCTGCATGCATGTCTTTTCACGGGTAAGTATAGAACAGTGTGAAAACCCCCCCTAGGTTCTAAAAAGTGCAGCAAAAGCAGGTTTTGTCTTATGGGCTGTCATGTTGAGCTGAGCTGTAGTATCCAAAGCGTCCTGCACGGAAGCATGCCTCTGTGCTTTCTAGTTAAAAGAGAGACTATAAATTATCCACATAATCTTCCTCTTGTTTACCTTTCACACTTTTGAGCTGAGGTACAGTGTGGGTTTTGGTGTCGTTTGTGGGCTGGGCTTTGGGCAGGTGCTGTGAACCTTTCTCATAGGCAGGGTGCAGAACGCTTCCCAGTTTTGGCATGTTCGTATGCTCATACACGAGGAGTGGACAGGGAGCAGTTGGTGCTCTGGGCATCCTGATTTGCTCTGGTCCAGCTCAGGAGAGATGTTAGTGGGCTCTGGAAGAAAATTAGTCACAGTCCTTTAACCTGTAAAGAAAGCTGATGTTTTTAAGGGTTGGCAAGGAAAGAATATATACTTCCAGCACACCGGCAGTCTCACAGTGTGGATATGAGGAGACAAGATCATGTAGAGAGAATGACTTGAATCTAAAATGCTATTTGTAAGAAAATTAGCTAGGCAAACCCAAGGGGCTAAACTGATACACATATATGAATACGTTCCTGTCTTCTGATTCTCAGAAGTTGCATTCTGTGCAAGTGTATTACGTTTGGTACTGCACAACCTCAGGAACTGTGGCCTTGGTGCACTTCCTGATTTATGGGGTTGTTTTTTTTTTTTTTTGAATGAGCCCCCAACGGAGCCAGTACCCACCACTCCCTGGGTTTGAAGAGATTTTTCTGTTACAGGATTTCTGCATAATTGTCAGGTCTTGAAATTAAGAAAGCACTTCCCAAGTATGTGCCTGACAGGGAGGAGAGAAGTTTGACATCTCAGCATTCTGCTGTTACCTGTTCGCAGAAACAAACACAGCAAAGCAGGAGGTTTCTGTGAGGTGAAAAAGTAGCTTTTAAAAGTGGTGTTCCTGAAGTTAATGTAGTGATCTGCCCCCTCTTTTTTTTTTTCCTGATGTTCCCTTCTCTGTATGGTCCCATATATACTTAAAGAATATGTTACCTCCTTACATTATTTATCCTTCTGTGCTACCATGGGGTTTTCTCCCCATGTCCCCATAGCTTTCCACTGTTCTTTTCTGCCTCTGCTCCTAGTTACCTTTCTTCATTGGGCAGCAAGTTTTCTGAGCAAGGTATGTTGTTCAGAAAGGGCTTGGCCTCGGATATGTGGTGCACAAGAATGTCAAGGCCTGGTCATACTGATACCACTGATTCCCCCAGAAAGGGGAAACTGCACAGAGGCTTTGAGGAAGTGGGTGAGGTATAGGAGAAGGAGTCTGTGTGGTTACTGGTGCTACATATCACACCTGCTGTAGTGTACAGGAGAGGTCAATAATTGGGGCTGATCCCTAGATGATGCGTGGTCAGTTGGTCTGTGGGAATCCAGTCTTTTTCTGTTTATTTTGAACTCGGCACTAAATTAGATTGCAAAGCTGAAAAGAGGGAGCTCAGGGAAGGACACTGGTCAAAGCTGCACAAGTGAGGAAGAATGGATGCCTCTTCAGGGTTAATTTTGACAGACCATTTTGTATTAGAAGCAGGAAAATGAATTGAATGCCCACGTGCAGAGATGTATCCATCTCTTTATTGCAGTGGAGGAGAAAGATGCAATTTATGGACTGGTTAAAGGGTTTGACTGGGAAGTTGGGCAGACCTCGGTGTACTTCCAGGGTGGGGGGGTGTGGTGGTGGCTTTCTCGGTCTCCTGGCTTTCCCTGCTCCCAGGGACGCCGCAGTTGTGGCCAGTCTGTCCCACCGATTGAGGGCCCTCCAGTGGGGTTCCTGTGGCTGGGTTAATGTCAAGCTCTGTACCTCTAGCGGGATGGATGGTGCCAAGGGGCCCTGCTTCTCCTTTTGCATGCCTCTTGTTCCATCCTATCTGCTTGGGTTCCTCTGCATGTGGAAGTGATAGTCTATGATAGGGTGTTATCTGCAGCCCAAACATCTCTACCTACCATCATCCTTCCTCTCTTGCCATTATCTTTTAAGCCACAGTGACTCAGTCGTATGCTGATTTTTCTTTTTTCCCCCCTTTCTTTCTTTCCTGTTTTTATTTCTCCCTCTCGCTGTTCTGTGGAAGAGCTGCTTCTCTCTGGGCTTGTATTCTGTTCAGGAGTTACTTACTTGATGCTGGAGCTTACGGTTTATAGTGGGCTCTTTGTCTGTAAGTTCAGCATATAGTATCGACACTCCCATCGAGAATGTCCGTGAGGTTGAAATGAGGTATCTGATGTGCTTGCGTCAAACTGTTTATGCTGAAAGCTTGTCCGTTTGACCATGCCCTAGCAGACAGGTGGCGGGCTGTTGCTGATTGCCTGTGTGCTGACACAGAGACGTTCCTTCTGACTTTAGATACATTCTGGTGAGGATGAAAAGTGCGGCTGAGACAGGCTACTGTTTCAACGTCAGGAGACTCCGACTGCAGGAGAAACTGGTCCTGCTCAAATACGATCCCATTGGTAAGAGCTTGGGGAAGAAGTCAGCCCGCTTCGTATAACCTTCCCTGACTGTGTGGGGCAAAAGATGTGAATATAACAGGATTTTTCCTGTCTAGGCAGACTATGTCGTAGCATGTTTCATACTCAGATGACTGTACAGTTGCTGTTCTGCATGACATTCCAGTGGGAAGTAAACGTTACCCTCATTTTACAGATTGTGGCAGTGAAACAAAGTAATGACTTGCCTGACACATCAGAGTCTTTGATGACAGCCATGCCACATGTCAGTGGCAAAGCAAAGTGACACAGGAGTTCTTTCATTCTGTTTCTTTGTGTGGTTTGCTAGACTGTGCTACCTCCAACAAGCAGCCACGAAGTACGTGTCAATAGAAGTGTTCTGTTAAGCTGCCATGGGTGCTCTAGACAATAAATTCTAACCATCGCTTACAAAATGGACTTTTTCTTTTAACAAAATAAACACAAGTTCTTTCTCCTCCACAAATGATACCGCTCTCCAGATGACAGTTTGTGGGTTCTTTTATGTTCCTGTGGTCCTTGCAAATTTTCTTAGTTTAAGAATCTGATTTGTTGGGTGGTTATAGCACTTGCCAAGCTGCCTTTTGCTCACCAAGCTTTTTGAAAGGTGACTAAGAGCTCAAGTTTCTGGGGGAGGGACCAGTCTGTAGTTAACATTAAAAAGCTTAATCTAACGTTAAAAAGCGTAATTTGGGGAAACTTAGAATTTAAACCAGACCATGCTAGAAATAGCATGCGGGAGTTAATGCAAAAAAGGCTTATTTAAATCTATAAAGAAACGCGTTAAGCATCTCTAAGTAGATAACATAATGCATGGCCAGTAGTTAGGTGGTTCAAGCTTATTTTTTCTTACAATTTTATGTTCTTATTAGATGACTAAACTTTTCATACTCTGATAGATCTAACGGTATGGGAGCTTTATGGCAGGTGAGAGGAAGCACCAGTGAAGCAGTACGCTCTCATCAAAGCACTTGTGCTGACAGAGGTTGTGGCTTGCCTTACAAATTCCTTACGGAAAGGGAATCTGATCACTGGGATTATTTTCTTGAATAAGAAAAGCTTAAATTACTCTATCGAAACATTGTGCAAAGTGAGCCTCCAGAAGCTTTGCAACTTGTAGGAAATGTGAAGAGAGTGGAGAGCTCAGGCTACGTAGCGCTTCTGTTGCAGAACATGTAGTAGGTTGCTCAAGTACGGAATTGGAAGTAATTAAGGAAAAAAGCTCTGATCTTTGTAGCCTGTAGTAGAACGCAAGTGAGAAACTGATGTGAGAAAGTGCTGCATGTGTGAAGGGAAGTAAATCTGAGTCTAGATACCAGCTCATCAGGAATATGTTAGGAAGCATTTTCACTTGGCATGCAATTTCACCTTATGTTTTGTACTTCTCAAAAACCTGGGACCTCCACAGAATGAAGCTTTTTAGTGAAGAAGTGGCAGTGGTGCCCAAGTTTCACTACCTCCTAACTGCAGCAACAGAATGCGTTACTAACTTAGAGTATTTCTTAAAGCGAAACTTTTATGTGGAAGAAGAGATTTTGTTATTGTGTGGATTGCTCTTGCGTAGCTTTCAAAGGAATTCATATAACAAAGTTCAATCAGAACAGCGGTGCTTTTCAAATGGCATTGCAAAGCTTTGCTTTGACTTATTTTTTAAGACATGCATTGGCTAGGCTTAACCTGTAGCTGAACTGACTTTGCTAACACTGGCATCAAGCGTCAGAGGCAGGGTCAGTTTGTGCCTCATTAAGAGATCCACCAGACACTTAGTTAACTTTTCAGTCAGCCTGTGAGACCGACGAGATCCAGCTCATCATCTGTAGTTGTTTGGGCTCTGAAGTTGAAGAGTAGTAGAAAGCAGTAAGAACCTATTTTTGTCCCTACATCGAGCAGTTGTGACTCAGAGTAGTCACACAGAGCAGCTGTTGAATGTTTTCAGCCACTCAAATACTGATACTTATTTTCACAGAGGTAAAACGGACCTCTTAGGAACTAAAAATTGCATGTGGTAAAGTGAAAGTACTACTAAAACTCCTTCAGGAGTTGGTTAACAGCAGCGCTGTGCCAGTCAGTTGCTCCACACTCATTTAAGCAGCAAAGGCAGCCAGGAGAAAGGGATGGAGGCTCGTTGAATTGAATTTTAACACTTCAGGCTTCTTAACAGATTCTTTTTTTTTCTCCTATAGCAAAAAAACGTGTCCTCTTCACAGAGAAGAGAAAAATCCGCTCTATCTGAACAATGATTGGACTTGATTTATGCATGAGGAGAGGATGATTTAGGGGGAGGACAGGGTGAACGCTGATTCAGAAATCCTGCAACATGGGCTGAAAAGAGAGGAAATGAACTGGGATCACCGTCTCCTGTGATTTGAAGGCCATTGTGAATAAACAATGTAGAGGGAGAAAATTCTTAATGTCTGGACATAGATCATCACAGTAACATTTATTTATCTTTTGAGTTATTTTTACAGTACTCAATTAAAAAAAAAATTAAATAGCAAATCCCATTGTCTGTGTTTTCCATTGTGAAAGAAGCTGTAATCTTCAAAGGACCCATTGTTTTATAAGGCAATAAAAATTAACATTTTCCACAGCAGCAGGAGCGCAGTTTTTTCTACCCTCCCAGCCACAGCTTCAACAGTAGTGACCACGAATGGGTGTCATTCCTGGCGGGGTAGTGTTGCACCAGCTGCTTCCTAGGAAAGGAAAAAGCAAGGGGAACCTGGTGAAATAAGATGAGCTTTTGGATAAGCTGTGACCACGGCTCGAAGGGCTGTATTATTTACAGTAAGTAAATGGTAAGTAGGATGGATTTTTCACTCCTGGATTTTTGTCAAGCATGAAGCCAAAGTAGTTCTCTGATGGTTTTGGAAGTCTCTCTTTAATGAGCTCACCTATGTTTAAAGCAATATGGCTAGAAGTGTTTTTCAAAGTCTACCTCGGTAGCATTCTTGTCCTCTTTCCAGTTCAAGGGACCTTCCACAGCGGCAGAACCGCAGAGTGCCGCAGCCCGCATCGGAAGCGCATGGGAACAGATGGGCTGGGGCTGGATGTATGGTGCTGTGTTGGGAGCCAAATGCTGGCCTTGGTGTCTGCTGCTGAGCGCTGAAGCTGCAATCTCAAAGCTAACACTCTGCTTCGTGGGCTGGCATTGCAAGTTCTGATAAGTAAAAATATTACCAGGAGCCCAATACCCTCCAGATGTCTTGCTGTAAGCTTCGTGTAATTCAATGTAGAGCGTTGTGCGGGATGGCCACAAGCCCAGGGGCTGCGTGTGGGGCTAGAGAGACCTGCCGTGCTGTGTTTGAAAAACACAACACACACACACCCCCTTAACTGCTGTAGAACAAGAACTAACAGGATTCCTCAAATGAGAAGTGAAGAGACTTTCCTGGTCTTCCTGGTCAGCAGAAGAAAACTTCGGTGCAGTCAAAAGAATAATGCTGCCTGGGATAAGATAAAATCGGCAGTGAGCTAGACAATGTCAGTTAGAAAAGTTCCTGAGGCAAGTCCTTCCTGTGAGGATATGAAGATTGCGTCCCTGATGCCTGGACGCTCACTGAGGCGACGCAGTTTGACTTCCGGATCATTTCCTCCATGGGTAACTTGGGATAGTAAGCCAGGTAGAAGGCCAGTGCTCCCACAAAGCTGTCTCCAGCTCCCTAGAATAAAATAACAAACAAGTTTAAGCGTACTCGTGCAGGGAAACAATTCAGCTACATTTACTGGAAAGACAAAAGTTGCAGCACTGATTGCAGGAGTCAGGAAATCGTTCAGGCGTTGAGTTCAATTCAGTTTTCTATGCCTAGGAAATTCTGCCGTGTTAAACTGGTGCCACGATGTTATCTTTGTGCCCAGCTGTTGAAACAAGGTACATGCTAGAATATGGCTTAAACTTAAAGAAAAAGAAAGGCAAATGTACTACAGTTCAGCAACATGGTGCTATAAGCACTGCTTTTGAAACTTCCTGTTGTTGGAGTGTCCGATTTTGATTTCTCAACCCAAATGTTTCATTAAAGCTATTTTTCTCTCATTTAACTTCTGTTTTTCATAAAGGGCAGTGGTAGAAGGGACACAGAAAAGGGGAAAAAAATAAGCCGTGTGGCTTGTGGTGTCTGTAAATTCCAAATTGCAGAATGATACATTTCAGTGCCTCCAGAACTTAGCTGTTGTTCATTAAGAAGGTCCCACTAACGAAGGTCTATGCTGTGTCTATCACATAAACCGCTCCTGTTCCTGGGCCAGGCTTTCCCCCCTGTGCTGAGTTGGACCGTGAGGCTGGAGGATGGTGACGCTCACCTGGAGCTCTGGCAGCCGTGGCCCTCTTAAGCTACCCCTCCCCAGGCCGCATCTGCCACGAGAGCTGCCTGATGCTCTGCCCGCCCTGTGTGAGCCCTCGGCAGATGGGGAGGACACCTTCCCCCGCAGGGGCTCGCTCTGACCCTCCAGCCCAGATACTGCTAATTCTGCTCCAGTCGGCAGGGAACGACAACTGTTTGCCTCCTGAGTGCTTTTTAACAATAACTGTTGTTTTGCGATGTTCGGTGCTCTGTAGTGTCCCCAACAACTGGCAAAATGATTTGCTCATTTCATTCCATGGTGTCGCTTCCCCTTCCTCCCCTAGATCTGGCTTTATTTCTAAGGCCAGACTGATAACAATTCTTGTTGGTGCTATAAAACTGGTTCTAAGGTCCCCTTTTTTCAGTCATACTTTTATACCAGTAAAAGCGTTCCACTGGACACGCTTGTAGTTATTTAATTTGAGAACCAGCATGGGGACTATCTCCCCTGAGAGGTTGTGCCTCTGTAGTTGTAATAAACAGGCCCCAGGAGTCACAGGACAAGAGCAAAGGGCCTGGAAAAAGTTAGTTAAGACAGCTGAGCAAAATTTTGAACTGGAAGTCAAGGCTAGGAAGTAATTTTCCAATTTTGAGTTCCAGTGGTTCTCAGCGTTGAACTCCTACTTACCCTAAGATCAGCTGCATATAATACCATTCCATTTCCACAAAAATCTGCGTGTAACATTACACAGAGCTGGCAGGGCGGAGCAGGGTGCCAACTGCAATTGCAAGGGAACGCGAAAGGGGGTGAGCGCAGGATAGGGGCACCCAGGCCCTGCCTTGGCCCTCCTTGCCCAGCCCTTCCCCAGCAGCTGTTTGCACTGGCGTTCCCAGCCAGGGAACTCCCCGCTTAACTCTCCCTTGGCCTGAAGCGCGGGCGCTGTCTCGAGTCGCCTTTGCAGTGGGGTACGATGTCGAGTGTCGCCTGGCAAGCCACGAGTTAACAAGCGAAGCTGCACGCCGGCATGCAGCGGTGGCAGCACCTGTTTCCACAGTTCTGTATTCCTGAAGGCACCAGGGGCAGGTGAAGGCTTTTATCAATTCCTGTTGGGCCTTTGTCTCCCTTCTGGCTTCCAGAGTGCTCCCACAATGGCAGGCGGAGCAGGAGCAGGTGACTGCTAGTTAAGCATTGCCAGTGTCTTTTGTCTGATGCATAATACAAAAATGTCCGGCCCATCTCAGAGTTTATAATCTAATCAGTGCATGATTAATTATTAAAGCTATTTTGGCGCTGCTGTTACAGACAGAAGTAGAATTTCAGCAAGCGGATCTGTTACGCTGGAGCTCTAGCAGGAAGAACTCGTCGTTTTTACATCAAATATTTCTCGTACAGTCATCACTGGGTAATGGAAGTGGCCAAATATTATTTTAATGAGGAACACTCAGAGTATCTGGTGTCAAATAGCATAAACTATTACCCGGCAGCAGCATGGAGCAGAATACTGCCTTTTTGAATGTTTTTTTTCAATGGAGGTAACTAAATACTGCCCCAAATAATTGCTGCACTGTTTGCTACTGGAGCAAAAAAAGACTAACTGCACATCACCCAGGTCTTCGTTTGGATGACGGCGAGACGAACGTAGGTTCTCCCTGCTGCGTCACTGTGCCTCTGCACTTGCGGGTGATGCTCTGAGGTTGTGAGAGTCCCCATCCCTGGAGGTATTTAAAAGAAGGATAGATGAGGTGCTTAGGGATATGGTTTAGTGGTGGGATGGCAGGGTTAGGTTAACGGTTGGACTCGATGATCTTAAAGGTCTTTTCCAACCAAAGCGATTCTATGATTCTATGATTCTATGGCTGTAGATCTCCCTTTTTGGCAAGGCTGAACAATGTTAAATGGCCACAAAGGTGGGAAAGGGGATGAACAGCAGACTTCCATGCAGAATGGAAAAAGGCCCCCTAGTATTTTTTTGCAAGAGAAAAGATTATGGGATGGTTGGAGAATATACAGAAGGATTTGATGCCAGTAAACTTTTGCTGAAATCCTCACTTCCCATGCATAGACGGCAGCAGTCAGTATGTCTAAAGCTCAGCTACTACAGACCTCGAGGGTATCATAAATTCAGTTGTTGGTAAGTAAACATTTTGGGGGGTGTGTGTTTTCAATATAGGAGCTTCTGCACTGAAAACAGGGGCATGCATCAGACCGATTATGTAGATACCCTGCCCAGCCTTGCTTCTGGTCTGTGCAGACACGACTGGTCAAACATGACTTAAAGAGCAATAGCAGAACTGAATCAGCTGCAAGGTTAACTGCAATAAGAACTATTTTTGGCTTACAGAAACAGACCTTCCCTCTTTGGTACTGTGGATTAAACTACATTGGCTTTGGTAGATTCAGAAAAGGTCACCACAGAGCAGAAGAAGGAACAGGCTAAGAGTAAAATCAAGTTTATCCGAACTCTGGATTAGCAAATACTAGCTTTACATTTAGCTGTTTCAAAACATTTATAGCTATAAGAAGAGAAAAAGAAAAACAAACAAACAAACACAACAAACCTACTTTGCAAAAATAACAAATTTTGAAAATGACTGTAAGGGGCATTTATTCTGCCCGCTGACAAAATATAAACACAGAATGTGTAATATTTTACATTCTTCAGCATTTGTCTTCCAGGAATCCTAATACATTGCAGACTTTGAGATAATCCTTATATCCTTGAGTGCCTGCAGACAATTCATTCCCTAATTATAAAAATATACCTTGTTTAACCTTTCTCTAAAGCAGGAGATGCTACTTTGTATGAAGTAGAGAGTTGGGTCAAAGAATTTGTCTGCTATGGCGTGGCTAGTTCTAAAATGCAAATGTTACAGTTTTGACTAAGTTTTATGGTTTTGAAGCAGTTTTGAAAACCTATTTTTACTCTGTGCCACTAGTCTGGAAGGTCCTTGTTTTCCTGCGTGTCTGGAAAAGGGCATTTTTGTTTATTACAATCCAGCACTGACCGAGATTCTGTGCCTCTAGAGAAGAGAAAGCCCACGAAAACACTGCTATTTATACCTTAGCTTTTGTTAGTCCTGATTTGTCAGAAGCTGGTTAACAACTTTAGTATAACTATTTTTATACGATGCTGGCCCTGTAAAGCTTTTTAAGGAAAGTGCTTTGTAAGTGGAAACTATATTGTTAAGTCTTTCCAGCAAGTAAAGCATTTTTCAACCAGTCATGCATAGAATAATAGGATGCATTTCACTTATACAATAAGATGACTTGTTCACCAAAAAAATTTGGAGGCCAAGAGGCCAAAAGCTACAGTTCACGGTGTCACAGCAGTTGCACTGCCTTATTCCAGGGCAACCTCTTGCTCAGCCTTCGCCCTCCCAGCCTGCCCTCTTGGGCAAGAGTAATGGCAACCATGTACGAAGAGGAGGGGGCTCTGCCTTCTGAAGCCTGATGTTGTCACTGAACCTCAGAAAAACTTCCTCAGGTGATTTTCCAAGAGGTCGCAGTCCATGTGCACTCTGTGTATTACATGGATTCATTGTATTAAATATGTTGTAAGAGCCTGTTACCAAGTCCTAAAGGGAATGATGTGCTGTACAGCAGTACAAGAGAAACATTAGGCATGCCTGCAATGAAAAATTCTTAGTTTAGTGAATAAATCAAAACATCAAAAGCCGTCAAAAACTGCATTATAATGTAGAATCGATGATATTGCTCGCAATGATGCTGAGGGTCTCCTAGGAGCATTCACGGC